GAGAGAGAGAGAGAGAGAGAGAGAGAGAGAGAGAGAGAGAGAGAGAGAAGGGTGGGGAGAGGAAGCAAAGAGGAAGAGGAGGAGGGAAGACGAAAAAGAGGGAGAAAGAAACAGAAAGAAGGGGGTTCCATTGTGTGTGGCCAACGCAAGACCCCTCGGCTTCTTTAAAGGGAACATCAACAGTGGCCTGCCAAGACAGCAGCCAAAGGAAGCAGCCAGTACAGACTATAGACTCAAGCCAGAGGAAGCAGAGCCAAAGACAATCTGGCTGAAGGAGGAGAGACGGCAAGATGATGAGGCTGGTGAGTGTCCAACACCACGAACATTTAACCTTTTATTAGCATCACGTGTGGTTTTCCTGTGGAATGTGTGTGTGTGTGTGTGTGTGTGTGTGTGTGTGTGTGTGTGTAACTTTTATTTACTTATTTTGAGACAGGCTTCCAAGTAGCTCAGACTGGACTCAAGACTACCAGGTGGGTGTTGGGAATTGAATCCCGGTCCTCTGGAGGAGCAGCCAGTGCTTTTAACTACTGAGCCATCTCTCCAGCCCTGTACCAATTAGTTTAAACTTACAGTGGACACTGCTTTCAGTCTATATCTTCTATATTGGCTCTTTTTAAAAATTGCTATTTATTTATTAAACGCGTATAGATGTTTGTTTGCATGTATTGTTTCTGTGCCACAGGCATGTCTGGTGCCGGAGCAAGCCAGAACATGGCATTGGAGTCCCTGCAACTGGAATACAGTGTAAGTCATCATGTGGGTGCTGGGAATCAAACCTGGGTCCTCTGGAAGAGCAATCAGGGCTCTTACTGTTGAGACATCTCTCTGGCATCCATATTGACTTTTTTTTTTTTTTTTAAGATTTATTTATTTATTATGTATACAGATCTGATTACGGATGGTTGTGAGCCACCATGTGGTTGCTGGGAATTGAACTCAGGACCTCTGGAAGAGCAGTCTTAACCTCTGAGCCTTCTCTCCAGCCCGTTTTTTTGTGTTTTTTTTTTTTGTTGTTGTTGTTGTTGTTTTGTTTTGTTTTGTTTTGTTTTTCGAGGCAAGGTTTCTCCATGGAGCCCTGGCTACTTACACGGCAGACCACGCAAGCCTCAAACTCCATGTGCATACGGGAGGCTACAGAGGCCAGAAGGGGGCATCAGATACCCTGGAACTGGGGTTAGAGGCAGTGGAGAGCGGCCATTATGCACTGGAAACTGACTCGGGTCTTATGCAAGAGCAATAAGCGGCTGTAACCATTGAGCCACCTCTTTGGCCCTGGACTCCAAGTGTGGAGGACTGAATTAATCACACCTTTGACTTCACATACCCTGAAACCTTTAGCCCGTGCATTGTGCTTCTATCCTCCACCACATCCTTTTCTCCTTAGAGCTCCGTGTCCGACTGACTACTTTGGTAGACACATTTTGATGTCCACTTACTTCTGTGAAATACATTGTGTGTGTGTGTGTGTGTGTGTGTGTGTGTGTGTGTGTGTGTGTGTGTGCATGCATGCACACATAGCATTTTTCTGTAAAATCACATTTTTTTTTGCCCTCTACTATACTGTAAATGTCTATTCCCACTGCACTATATTCATGTGGTCTCATGCTTTGAATAGTTGGGTTACATCACTTACCCATTTCTTTTCTGGCCAGTCCCCTCGATTGCAACACCACCATCTTCCTCAACCATCACTATAAATGATACCGGGATAAACATTCCTACTGTAAACTGAAGTTTCCACACAAAGCCACACCTCTGCTACAGATTCTCCGAGGCTGCCTGACTGATTAGAATTTATGATGGTGGACGGTCGGAATGTTGCAGATCCGGAGACAAAAATCACCCCGGGCTTATCTTTAGTCCCCTTAACAACCACTTGTCGCCCACTTCTGTGCCTAACCTCACATCTTCGTGACTACTAGACACCTTATTTCGGAATGTGATAACAGACTCTTCACTTCCACACCCAAAAGCTAAGGATGCCACCAGGTGGTTTCTGAAACCGGTGGCAGAGAGGCTCCCCTGGTGACTATTACCCACTACGGTGGTTCAGCTGTCAACTTGACACAACCTGGAATCGCATGAGAAGGGAATCTTCATTAGAAATTATCTAGATCTGATTGGCCTTTGGGTGTGTTTTGTGGGTGGTTGTCTTGATTATTAATTGATGTAGCAGACCCAGCCCATGGTAGGCGGCATCATTCCCTAGGCAAGAGATCCTACACAGTATAAGAGAACCATCAAGCAAACCACCAAACCATGGGTGCACCTCTCTCTGCTTTTGACTGTGGATATGATGCCCATGTTCCTGCCTTGACTTCCCTGCAATAACGGACCACGACCCAGCTAAATAAATCCAAGGGAACCCCTTCCTCTCCTATGCTGCTTCTGGGGAGAATATTCATCACAGCCGGAAAAATGAAACTTAGGACACTCAGCCATCTGGCGTTCTCACCAATGTACTTGAAAAGCCATCTGATGTCATACTTTCTTTTGTTCTGAAACTGTAAAAAAAACTTCATGAAAACATTTCCACGTTGGAACATGGTCTTTGGGGTAATCTGAATCCACATTCTTGGGTCGTGATGATGCATATTTGGCTCCAGAATAAACTATCTCTTGTTTTAAGGTAAGAACTGTGTTTTGTGTATAGCCATTATCTGATATATATATATATGTGGCTATGTATAGAGTCATAGTTATAGCTATGTTATATATGCCCGGGTGCTCATTTGGAGGTCACAGGACAATTTGCAGGAGACAGTTTTCTCCTTTCACCTTGTGGGTATTAGGGTTGTACTGATGTCATCAGGCTAAGCAAGCACTCTACCAACTACCAATGAGCCACATCCTGCTCCATCACACAGACACTGTAAGTAGAGACTGAAGTGGCCAATTCAGATAATCCAATATGTGCTATTCCAGAAATCAAACTTCTGAACGTGTTACTAAGGTTCTACTCGATGATTTTTTTAAAAGGGTTAAAATTGCATCAAAAGGACATTGGCATCATGCACATAGACACACAGAGCAAGCTGTAGCTGTGTGATGACTTTAAAACCAGAATGTTGGGAAATAACCCACATTCACTTCTACCTAGCTATGTGCCTTCTTACTTTTGTTAGGAAGCCTCTCTAAAGGACAGGACTGGTATCTTTAGGGAGATGTTCTATGATTCTGAGCTCTACCACCAAGGAATGGCCCTATTTGCTGTTTTGTTTGGGTTGTTTTTGTTTGTTTGTTTTTGTTTTTTATCATCTATCTTAGGTCTTGAAGAATTAGGTTTTGGGCTGCCATGTGGGTGCTGGGAATTGAACCCTGGTCCTCTGGAAGAACAGCCAGTGAGTGTCCTTAACCACTGAACCATCTCTCCAGCCCCAAGAGTTCGTTTCTGAAAACTTTGGTGGGATGTAAAGGTGGTCAAATGAAAGTATCTGGATCCCACTGGGTAGGATGCATGACTCTAAAGAGTCACACATTTCCTAATCAAAAACCAAGAACCAATCTGGTATGTCACAGACAACAGGTATAATTTTAATTTGCCCTTATTTTTTATCTGATGTTGATATATCTCATTACACACGATAAAAGTGGTTTCAGTCTTTAATTGCCACATAAATTACAAGCAAAGAGGCCTTTGTTTTCTGTGCTACACGGATTCATAGTTCACTGATCACTCTTAGAACTCATGAGACAGCATGCATGCCATATGCAGACGCAGATTCAACACAAAGCTTCAGGGTAAGTTTAATGGTCAGTGAGAGGTGATGGAATGTTCTAGGTCAGAGTAAAGTAAGCTTGGGAACATGATTAAATATACTTCTAGTAAACTGCCCAAAGAAATCTCAGAACAAAGGAACAGAAATCTCTGGACTTCAATCTCTTGCTGTCATTCCCTTTTTGTTCTGAATAAATCATCCATGTTCTATTTAATTTTAATCCGGACCTGTAGGGCAGGGGACAGAGATGGAGACAGGCAGATCCCTAGGCTTGCTGGACAGGCAATCTAGATTTTCAGTGGTCAGTAGGTTCAAAAGTAAGGTGGAGAGTGACAGGGGAAGACATTCAACTTGGACACACAAGGGGTATGCAAGCATACACACACAAGGGATGTGCAAGCATACATACACAAGGGGTGTGCAAGCATACACACACAAGGGGTGTGCAAGCATACATACACAAGGGGTGTGCAAGCATACACACATACCACAAATACATACACAACAACAAATGGAGATTTAAGTAGCTCTGTAAGATCCTTTCTGACTTTGAAAATCATTTCATCAAATCTATTTTGCCAGAGAGGGCAGGGGATGTAGTTCATCTGTCTAATGTGCCCAAAGAAAGCCCTTGGTTCCATCCCCAGCACCACATAAGTAACACACAGAAGCACAAGTCTGTCGTCTCAACACTCAGGAAGACAGGAGGATCAGGAGTTCAAGGTCATCCTTTGCTGTACAGCAAAGTTTAGGTCAGCCTGAGTTACATGTTACCCTGATGAAACAAGAAAGAAGGATAAGGGAGCTGAAGAGATGGCTCAGTGGTTAAGAGCACTTGGGCGTTCTTCCAGAGGACCTGAGTTCAATTCCCAGCCCCCGCATGGCAGCTCACAACTGTCTGTAACTGCAGTTCCAGGGCATCTGACACTTTCCCACAGACATACATGCAGGCAAGACACCAATGCACATACAATTAAAATTTTAAAGGAAAGAAAGAGAGGGAGGAAAGAAGGGAAGGAAGGAGAGAGACAGCTCATTATACAAAGAAAACAAAAATTAAGTCTTCAATAATATGAATAATGCACCCATCAGCCAACTAAGTATTTATTTATGAATATAAATGAGTAAATAACATTCTTACCATTATGCATGCTAATATAATGACACTATAGGACTAAACTCCTTCGTAAGGACACACGTCCCATACAGACTCTTGTAAGAAGTTGATTCGTGCTTAGACATGCTGCTCTTCACCATATCAGTACCCAGAATCATCCATTCTGAAAGAGGAAGAGGCATTGTTACAGTAACAATGAGGCCAACTGAAATCTCTGTTCTAGAAAGTCTGAACAAACAAGGCATTTCGGGGAAGTCAGTAACAACTCATTTTTGCCCGAGCTTAGATATCTGACAAAATTAGAGAATGTTTTAATGAGGGGCAGTGGAGGATCACAATCCAGTTTAGTCTTTAAACATAAAAACAAACCAAAGGCTGGACACGTTCTTCTGGGGTAGTGAATTCTACAACCTGCCTTGGTCTATGGGGCAGGGGAGTTGGGTGTTGGAAGTATGACAAAATGGTGAAATCTGAAGGAGGAATTCAGGATGTTCTGAATTCACAGGGACCCTAGAAAGCCATTCCAATTCATATGTTTTAATGCGGCCAAGGGCCAGACCCTTGGTCCCATAACCAGGGGGGCAGAACCAGGGCTAGGTCCTGTGACCAACAAGCTGGCACAGGTTTTTCTGTACCAGTCTGGGCTTCTGGACCACCTACATTCTTCCCTTCTTCAGGGCACAAGTGAGAGCTTATCCCACAAAAGTATACTTAAGTATTGCTTAAACCCAATGGCCAATTTGGTAATCAAGTTATATCAACTGAAACTGTGGATGTTGGTGCTAAGGGGCTCCCTAACAGCAGGAGCAGGAAAACCACTCTCGCCTGAAGCAGGTCACAGTGCCTTCAAAATCCAGGGGTGTCTTTCTTGAACCCAAAAGAAAGGAACATCCTTGTCTCTCGAGACTCAGACACTAACAAAAGTTCAAACAAGCAGGTAGGCTGCATTTCCCTTAGTTTGGAGCCTCAGACTGTATCTTCTTTGTCTCATACTTTTGCAAGCCTACATCAAACTAACTGAGCACTAAAAGACAGAGGCGTATAGCTGGAGAGGAGGCTTAGCGATGGAGACCAGTGGTTGCTCTTTTCAGAGGACCCAGTTCTGGTTTCCAACCACATGGATCACAGCTCTCTGGATCCAATCCCCTCTTCTGATCTCCACAGGCAGGCACGTGGTGCACACATGTATATGCAGACAAAACACTCATACACATAAAATAAACAAGCCTAAAAAAAGCTTTTTGAATGGAGAAATTTTGCTCCTTCTCCCAGTCTTCTCCAAAGGCTCCTGTGTGTGGAAAACATATTCAGTGAATGTATGTGTTTGTTACCCATTCGTTTGGCTTTTGTTAGAAGTGGCTCAGCCATGAAGCTTGAGAGAAATGATGCAGAGATGCTTTCCCTTTTCTTCATCACATGCGAAGCTAGACAAAGTAATCCAAGGACTTCATTAAGTATCCGGACATTAGGTCCACACACATGGAGAGCAGTAGAGTTCTTGCTTAACATGAACAAGGCCCCGGACTCAATCATCAGGACCACACCAAAAGGAAGGTGGATGATTGGTAGGTCAGAGGTAATGATGGGTGTGCTTAAACAGTGCTTGGATGAATGGTTATCTGTAAGGGAGGAAATGGAACACTACTACTTCAGACTCTCTGCACTGGCACGCACAAAACAATCTCACATTCATGAAAGGTAAACAGCTAAAGCTTTTCAGGGGATGGTGGTGCCTGCTTATAATACTAGCATTTGGTCTGTGGAGACAGGGGCATCAGGAATGTAAGGGGTACTTGGGCTGCACAAGACTCTGTCTCATAAACAAGAAAGAAGTAACAAATAAAGAACTAAACCTTTAGAATAAAAGTAAGGAAATGTGTTCATGCTGTTCGGATGTAGAAGGCTTCTTCAACAAAGCAAACAATTAGAAACCATTAGGGAGGCCATGCGGTGGTGGCACATGCCTTTAGTCCCAGCACTTGGGAGGCAGAGGCAGGCGGATCTCTGTGAGTTCAAGGCCAGTCTGGTCTACAAAGTGAGTTCCAGGACAGCCAGAACTGCACAGAGAAACCCATCTCAAGAAAGAAAGAAAAAGAGAGAGAGAGAGAGAGAGAGAGAGAGAGAGAGAGAGAGAGAGAGAGAGA